AGAGAGAATGAGAGAGAGAGAGCACATGAGAGGGGGGAGGGTCAGAGGGAGAAGCAGACCCCCCGCCGAGCAAGGAGCCCGATATGGGACTCGATCCCAGGACTCCAGGATCATGACCTGAGCCGAAGGCAGTCGCCCAACCAACCGAGCCACCCAGGCGCCCCATGCCTGGGATTCTTAATGTCCATTAGTTCACTTGAGTTCAGAAGCTTTGAGGACGGAGCCACGATGAGCAGCATGGATCAAAGACAGTCACAGTTGGTTTAACAACCTTACTGCGGTGTCCTTTGTATAGCTCGAAATCCTCGTGTATTAAGTGATTCCTTGATTTTCAGCAAAATCAGGAGATTTTCAGGAGAAAAACCGCTCCTTCCCACCTGCAGCCCTTTCCCACCGATGTGCCCGCTGTGGGCACTTGGTATGAGTGGAGTCCCATGACACGTGGCCTCTGGCTCTGCGTCTCTGACCAGCGTCGTGTTGGTGCTTCGGTGACCGCGTCTGCGCTTGGTTTCCCTGCTCATCTGTTGGCGGACATTTGGGTTCTTGCACTTTGGCAGCTGGGAATGTTTGGTGCAAGTTTTTGTGCGGCCTGTGTTTTCTGTGTCTCGGTTATGCACCCGTGAGGGGAGCTGCTGGGTCACATGGCAGATTTATGTGTAAACTTTCAAAGAAACGGCCAGACTGTTTCCCAAAGTGACTGCACCGTTTTACAATCCTGCCAGGGGCACAGGGCTCGATTTCCCCACGTCCTGCACATCCGCAGCCGTCCTGAGGGGGTCAAGCGGCGTCCCACTGAAGTTCTGAGTCGCACTTCCCTCACAGCTGGTGGTGTGGAGCAGCTTTTCATGTGTTTATTGGCCACGTGTGTGTCTTCTCTAGACAAATGGTTATCCAACCATGCTGCCCATTTTTTTTAAATTAGGCTGTTTACTCTTCTTGTTTTTCAGTTGTGTGAGTTCTTTATATATTCTGGATACTAGTCCTTTATCAGATACATCTTTGCAAATAGTTTCAGTTGTGGCTCATCTTGTCATTTTCTTTAAACTTTTTTTAAAAAATTAATTGATTTGAGAGAGAGAGAGAGCAGGGGAGGGGCAGAGGGAGAGGGAGAGAGAATCTCAAGCAGACTCCCTGCTGAGCTCAGAGCCCGAGTTGGGGCTCCATCCTACAACTCTGAGATCATGACCTCAGCCAAAGTCAAAAGTCGGACGTCTTACCAACTGAGCCACCTAGGCGCCCCTCATCTTGTCAGTTTCTTAATGCTGTCTTCTGAGGTGCAAAGGTTTTTAATTTTGATAAAGATTTGTCAATTTTTTCTTTTATGGATCATAATTTTGGTAATGTATGTAGGAATGATTAGCCCCACCCAGTACACAAAGATATTCTGTTTTCTGCTGGAAGTTTTGCTCTTGCATTTCTGCAGTCCATTTTCAGTTAATTTTTCTGGATAAGATGCAGTTCTAAATTCATCTTTTCTCACGTGGATGTCCAGCCATCCCAGCACCACGTGCCAAAAAGACTGTCCTCTCCCCACTGAATTGCCTCAGCACCTCAATCAAGAACCGCTTCACTGTAAGAGTGAGGGTTTGTGTCCAGACTCTGGATTTTGTTCCGTCGACCCACGTGTCTGTCCCTGCACTACCACCACACCTTGATTATTGGAGCCTCACCCTAAGTTTGGAAATTAGAGACTCCTTCAATTTTGCTTTCTTTTTCAAAATTGGTTTGGCTATTCTGGGAACTTTATATTTTATACAATTTTTTTAGGATCAGCTTGTCAATTTCTGCCAAAAAAAAAAAAAGCCTGCTGGGATTTTGTTAGGGATTGCTTTGACTCTGGCCGGGAAGAGCTGCCATTAACAGCGCTGCATCTTCCCATCCATGAACATGGGACACCTCCCCATTTATTGATATCTTTACTTTCTCTCGCCAATGTTTTGTAATGTTTAGTGTGCAAGTCTTGCACTTCTTTTGTTAAACTTACTAATAAATGATAATTTATCAATAGTTATTTAGCTTATAACTTAATTATAATTTGTTCACTAATAAATGTGTAATATTTATTCTTTTTATACTATTATGGATGGAATTGTTTCCTTACCTTTATTTCAGAGATTACTAGACTACAACTGATTTTAAAATATTGATCTTATATCCTTTGACCTTGCTGAACTCATTTGCTAGCTCTGCTAGTTTTCCTGAGGATTTCTTAGAATTTTTCTATATAGAAAATCATCTAATTTTGCTTCTTACTTTCCAGTCTGGATATGTTTTCTTTCATTTGTCTGCAATATTTTACATTCCCACTGGCAATGACCAAGGTCTCTGATTGCTCGAGATCCTCGCCAGCATTTATTACCATCAGTCTTTTTGGTTCTAGTCATCCTACTGGGTGTGAAATGGTATCTTGTTGTGCTTCTGATTTGCATTTCCCTTTACAAGTAATGATGTTGAGCATCTTTTCACGTATTTATTGGCAATTTGTATGTCTTCTTTGGAGAAATATCTATTCAGATCTTGACCATTTAAAAAAAAAATGGGTAACTTGGGGCACCTGGGTGGCTCAGTCAGTTAAGCGTCTGCCTTTGGCTCAGGTCATGATCCAGGGTCCTGGGATCAAGCCCTGAGTTGGGCTCCTTGCTTGGCAGGAAGACTGCTTCTCCCTCTCCCTCTGCCCCTCCCCCTACTTGTGGTCTCTCTCTCTCTCTTTATTTGAGAGAGAGAATGAGAGAGAGAGAGCACATGAGAGGGGGGAGGGTCAGAGGGAGAAGCAGACCCCCCGCCGAGCAAGGAGCCCGATAT